CTGCGCGAGCTGCTCCGCGGGCGCGACGGCGCCGTCTCCGCCGCCACCTGCCTCAAGGGCCAGTGGGGAACGCAGGTACGCGCGCTCCACGCCTCCACACCAGACAGATCTCCTCACAATCCCTGTGCTGCACATGATATACCTAATTGCTGCTGCTTACTACACAACGGATGACCTCCTCCATTGTCACTCCTAGCTGCAAACCTGGCCTCGGACCTCAGTTGCCATGAACGTCTCACTGCTACAACATTTAAACCAATTTTAACTGATGCCAGTCATTTTCCATTTTTCTTGGCACGGTGATAGGTGAAGATCCACCAGCTTCTCCTCAGGTCAAGGTATAGAACACTGGACAAGGACGAAGCGCATCTCTTCTTTGTTCCCAGCTATGTCAAATGTGTTCGCATGACAGGAGGTCTCACCGACAAGGAAATCAATCAGACATATGTCAAGGTATATAAACCAACCCCCAGTAGAACTTGTTGATCACTTCACTCAGGTGTGTTTTAAGTTTACTAACCGCAAGTTCGCTTCTTAACCGGACTGTTTTTCGTTCCCTGCAGGTTCTGGGTCAGATGCCATATTTCCGCAGATCGGGTGGGCGTGACCACATTTTCGTCTTCCCAAGGTACCGCTTGCTACTACTGTTTGAGCACCCAAAATCAAATCACACAGATGATCAGCATTGTCTTTTGGTTAAAGAAATGTTCCCTTGTACACCATGTAAGAACATTGTTGTTTTGTGGAGTATGTAGCGGTGCTGGAGCTCACCTGTTTCGCTCGTGGGCAACTTTTCTGAATCGATCCATCATCCTCACTCCAGAGGTAGATAGCCACTCATGCTGCTCTTCATATTTTTTTCCCTTTTCATTCCTAATAATCGTGCCTAGTATAACAAATCAAAGTATTAGAAACTGCTTCCAGGACTGTCTTTGATGTTTTATGTTTACAATATTGGAAGAAGGCTCCCTGATTCAACAGTGGGACAAGAGTTCAGTTTGGGTAAATGTGTATATACGTGTGATACAATTAGGGTACATGTTGTATTTGTTCTTGCTATGCCATCCAATGTACACCTAGCATATCTAGATCTGTCTACTTGAATATAATCACATCAATGTTTTCCCAAGTCCCAACATAAAAACTGGCAGTTGCGTCTGCTGGTCTAGTTTAATGTATACCATGAGATACCTGCAACATGTTTGCAGAGTTCGTGTAGGCAATTGACTTGGTTTTTACTGCTGCAGTATTGTTTTCAATATAACTCAACTTGCAGTCTACTTCTGACATCTTACATAGCATTTGCATTCTCGTTTTAGGGTGACCGTACTGACAAGCGAGGTATAAGCGCATTTAATACATGGAAAGACATTATTATCCCGGGGAATGTGGATGATTCTATGGTGAAACCTGATGCTCGTGCTGTCCAACCAATTCCGTTGACGAAAAGGAAGTATTTAGCAAACTTTCTTGGTCGTGCCCAGGGAAAAGTAGGCCGTCTTAAATTGGTGGAACTGGCAAAGCAGTATCCTGACAAGGTTTGTCTTTCTTTTGATATCCAAATACAGTTTAACATGATATTAATCAGTATGGCTTCTGTGGGTTAAACTGAAAGTTACTATGGCTCCGTTAAGGAAAATTATTATGGCAATGTTGGCAATGACATGATTCTGAATGGATCGGTATATAGAAGATTAAAACCTTGATTTGCATTCTTATTGCTATTCCGGCATGCTCTATTGTCTGAAATTCACATTGCAAACATACAAGTTGGTATTCTAGGATGCTAGCCAGAGTATTTATTTATATATATACAAGGTTAATCGTGTTAGGTTAGCTTCATTTCTGTTTGACGAGGCTTATACATACTCTATCCAGACTGGATGTGCTTCTGTTTTATGAGCAGCTGGAGTCTCCAGAACTGAAGTTGTCTGGGCCTGACAAATTGGGTAGGGTTGATTACTTCAAACACCTGAGGAATGCAAAGTTTTGCCTAGCTCCTCGTGGGGAGTCTTCGTGGACACTTCGCTTTTATGAATCTTTCTTTGTGGTGAGCTCTCCCTTCCCCAAAAATATATATTGAGTGCATACCTACACCTAGTATCTGACTCAAGCTGTCCACAATTTTCAATTTTGATGACAGGAATGTGTGCCAGTTCTTTTATCAGATGAGGTTGAGCTCCCTTTCCAGAATGTGATTGACTACACTGAGATATCGATAAAATGGCCATCGTCCAAGATCGGTCCTGAACTTTTCCAGTACCTTGAGTCGATACCAGGTATACCCCCACAAGTTCCTTCTCTCCTTTGCAATTATACCATCATTAGTCCTGTTGCGGCGAGCATCAAAGCCTTGGAATTTTCACGCAGAGGAAAGGATCGAGGAGATGATCGCCCGTGGACGCGAGGTGAGATGCATGTGGGTGTACGCCGTGGACACGGAGCCCTGCTCCGCGATGACTGCCATCATGTGGGAGCTGCAGAGGAAGGTGAGGCGGTTCCACCAGTCCGCAGAAACCTTCTGGCTTCACAACAGGTCGATCGTGAACAGAGAATTGGTGGAGTTCCGGCAGTGGGGAACATCTGTTCCATTACCATGAGACTCCGTGTGTACCGGGTTGATTTGTCAGATTTTGGGCTGTTGTATGGTGGTAGATGTACCAGGTAGGTCCTTGAGGACGGATGCCACTTCTTTTAGAGAGTTGTGTGTGTGTGCATACTGGCTGAGAAGTGTGTTATATTATTGCATTCACAAAGTTGCAACGTTTTTGTCCATTTACTATCCCGAGCATCGTGTGGATCTCGAGAAGATGCTACTAGCTGACACATTTGTGTGATACACTATCATCTGTATGACATATGCTTACCACAAGATAGGGCAAGGAACCGTCGCCTGAGAGAGTTAGTTTGCTCTGTTCGCAGTTCATAGTTTGGTCTGCCTACTGAAGAAATGCAGTAAACACATGAACAATTGTTTCTTGTATCATTATGTTAGGAACTAAGCAACCAAAAGATGAAGCAATAGGCAGTTATGTACACCATCTGAGTGTTCAATTGTGTGAAAAACAAATCCGCATCTCCAAAGGCTATGTCAGGGTGCCTGGCACATTATCAGAATCTTCACTAAGTAAGAATCTTACCAACCATGGATCATCAAACCAAGGTTGCCATGCCGAAGATCGTTGACGCGCTCCACTCAGCGCATGAGACCTTAGATGATATCCTGCGCAGAGCTTCTGAGGAGAGAGCAGAGAGGATTTCCAAGTGACTGAACCTCAATCCGAAGGATGGACTGGGGTTCCTGGAATTGGAGGCTCGTAGCATTCATGAACTGGCCAAGGGGGTGGAGATCAGGCTCTCAATAGTGCACGGAGAAGCAAAGGATGGACAAAAGCAGGGTGTGGAGTATGATATCAAGTTTAAGAACAACTCTAACGGATCCCCTATCCGGCGCTAAGGGAGGATAAATTCAGTTATCCTCCCTTACGCCACACCTAGCCGATCCCGCTAAGGGAGGATAAACGCACTGTGCGCTTGACCGCCCCGACCCACACCGGAGCTGCCGTGAGAAGACAAGAGGACCCTGCGGCGCCGGCGCCGACCAGGCTTCACCTAGCAATGCCCTCTTCTGAGGAGGAGGGCGAAGATGCCTTTAGGAGTGGTATTTAACAATTACAACTTTTCTTGAGTGAAAACGATTACAACTTTCTTTTTGTAAACCGGCCTGGATTTTCAATCTGAAGTAGACACGCGTGAAGAGACACTGAATGGCAGCACGAACAAATACCAAACGAAAAACAGCGCGCGGTGCAAGGAGTCGAGTAAGAATTGTTCATCAGTTTTGCCAAGTCTCAGTCTGACTGAGACCTCGCCACGTCCAGATCAGGTTGCCTGCTGGTTAACTACCGTGTCGAAATTAGGGACGCCCTCCAGGTCCGGGCCCTCCTCCCCATGGACGGCGTTCCCACTAAAGCAGGCGTGCGAGAGCAGCGCCCACAGGTGTGTGATGAGCTCGCTGTCGCCGGCGAGATGCCTCCCGTGCATGACCGCCCTCGTGTTCACGGCCAAGTGGAGGAGGAAGCCGGTCCAGAAGCTGGCCAGGTCCCTCCACAAGCCTGCGGCGTCGCCTTCATACGCCTCCGTCAGGTGTTTCCCGAGCACCGCGCCCATCCTTGTTATGGAGCACCCAATGTGGAGATCTTTGTAGCCTTTTCTTCGGTCCGCTTGATCGACTTCCATGGGTGTCGCTGCTTCCACGTCGTCAGGGCCCCAGCTCCAGCTCTGATCGTGATCCTTGCAGGGCTTGGGGACTATCTTCATAAGCCTATGGTACACACCTTCCAGTTCCATGGTACTGGATTTGGAGACGACGTAGTCGAGTTCTTTGATCACCTCATCAAGCACCATTCCGGCAACAATGGGGTTGTCCGGCACCAGCGCCTTCCTCACCAGATACGCACAGTAGTTGGATAAACTGGCCGCGGTTGCGTAGTGCCGAGACCACGCAGAATCAACTACGAAAGGCCGCGGTCGCCGCACGGCGGTGAGCCCCTTCACCTCGCTGAAGAAGCTGATCTCGCAGAGGCCGGTCGCGATGTGCCAGACCAGTATGATGTGGGTGTCTGCCTTGAGCTTGAGGTTGCTTGGCCACTTCACCCTCTTGTTTGATTCGAATGCGTTTGAGAAGTAGCTGCCCAGCTGCCCGTCCTTCAAGTTCCTGAGCGAATCTAGTATCGCAGTCTTGGTGTGGTCCTCCAGGGTCGTCGTCCCAGTGGCCACCCCTCGACGGAGTACCTTCGTCCATGTAAACAGAGGCGGCACGCCTGGCCTCGGCACATGGAATGTGACCAGAAGGTTCTGCTGACCGATCGTCTGCTGGCTCCACTCGGCTTTCCTGCCGAGAAACAGCACGAGCGTCATCGCCCTCTCCACCACCGGATGCCGCCAGCACTGATGATGCTGGGCGTACTTGCACAGCAGCAGGACCTTGGCCCACCGCGACGACACGTAGAGAAAGATCTCCAGGAGCTCCTTGAGAATGATGATGCCGACCATGACGCGCGTGACGAACACGCCGTGCGTGATCCTGTTCCGGTCCGCTGGATCCATCCTCTCCGGTATGTACCGGGCGGTATAGGCGATGTACCCCGTCGCGGCGGCCATGGCCAGCGACAGCAGCAGGCTCCGGAGCGGGACCATGAGGCCGCCGGCGAACACGGTGGCGTGCTTGCTGTGGAAGAGGTCCTGGAGGAAGGACAGCTCCACCCCCGTGATGCGGAACGCCCTCTCGCAGTCCGCGAGGATGTAGCCGAAGACGAGCTCGCGGATCTTGTCTTTCCCCCGCGGCCTGGTCGCTTCATGCACCGGGAGGTCGAAGAACCGACGGCGCAGCAGCTTGTAGAGCGCGAACGAGAGGCACAGGTCCTTGCGCTCTCCACGCGGGTCTGCAGCGGCTCCCAGCAACCCACTCCCGCTGGTGTGACTCCATATCTTCTCCACGGTGACGAAGTGATTGCTGTGGTCTCCATCTGGTTTCAACTCAATCTTGTAGCTCCTGCCAGCCTGCTTTGTTACCCTCTTCCGTCTGAAACAAGATCCCTCCCGCCGCCGGCCCTCCTGTACTTCCTTGAGCACCCGGTGTTCCCCGTGCACCAGGTACTTGCGGCCACTCATGGATGACACCGCAAGGTCAGCAGCAGGAGGGAGCCTGTCCTCATAGCTCATGTAGTCGTTCACCAGCCTCATGCTCTCTTGGCTATGAGTCTCCGCTTTACCGGAGGTGACGAAGAGCACGATGATGCGAACCACATTCAGGGACCAGATCAGCCAGAGGGGGATCCTGAGGAGGTAGAAGGTCTGCACCCGGAGGAGATTGGCTGCCCAGAAGGAGGACATGAGGTCCAGCAACGGGATCTGCTTGGACCGGCTGTAGGGGCGCCCGATCTTGACGCTGTACTGCAGGGTCACCAGCAGGACCGCCCACACCTGGAAGTAGTCGTTCACCCTCGCGCCTGATAGCTGCATCAGTCCGATGGTGTAGATCACCAGGTTTTGGGTCAGTATCTCCAAGGTCAGGACTTGGAACATCCTGCTCGGCTTCCCGAACCATGGCCCGGAGAAGTCGAGGACGAACCTCCACACCAGCAGCACCGTCGTCAGCAGCACCCACAGCTCCACACTGGCAATGCGAGTAGCATTGTCCAGCGTAAAGAGGCTCCGCAAGGTGACCAGGATTACTCCGCCGCCCTTCTCGGAGCTCATCGTCTCTCTCTCTCTCTCCTTGCTGGCTTCGAAATGTTCAGGACCGGCTATAATTTGAAGAGCAAACTCGTAGTTCATGAATCAATGGCCAAACACTCTCTTATCTTATCATTAGTGATGAAGAAGGTGCCATATTTTAAGTAGTCTATAATAATTTAGTTACTAATTGATCCTACACGCCTTCGTTGTTTTCTTGACTAGCTAGAAGACCTTGTTAATTATCAAGACTATATATGGAAGGAAGACTGGCGAAACAGAATAACGCATGGCGGCTGGCAGCCCGGCAGAGTCGTACGCAGCGGTACGGTAGCGACAGCACGCCGGCCGAATGATGACGGACGTCATGGACGTGATGGTGATCAATCAAACTCCCAATGTCAACAATCACCTTCTTTCCCAAGTAAACTAAGACTAGGAAGCAAGACAAGTTCAGTCATGGTTGTTAGCAAGATCGATGCACTAACTAATCGACTTGCAAGCTACCTAGTTAGCTAGGCAGGCAGTGTATAACCAATCCTCGCCAGCAAAGTAAAATCTGCACCGCGCTAATTAACTCAGGGAGCCTGCAGGTCTCAACATGCATGATACATTGCTAGTTGAGACTTGTTCTCATAGATATTGGAACCGATCCGCGGTCCAAATTAAGAAACTCATCCATCTGACGAGCCTTTGTTTACGCTGTTAATCGAGCGTGGACCAGCTGGCCACTAGCTCGTACGTGTTGTCACATGGGCTTGGTTTAATTGTAGCATTGATCGAGATTAGCTGCTATTTAAATGTGGCAAGTGGAGTGGTAGTAAACAATAGCGTAGCACCAAACCGGGGCTACACGTAACGTAGTTAATTAGTAGGGGACACAAGACAGGCATGGCTCAGTTGACAACTGAATGAGCATAGTTGACAACAGTCCGGCATGGCTCAGTTGACAACTGAATGAGCATAGTTGACAACAGTCCGGCATGGCTCAGATGAAATATTAAGCACCTCTTTCTTAATTCTCCTCTCGCCAAATTTTTATAGCGCTCGGTTCATATAGATTTTGATGTCATCCCTCCAAGTAGTATGAATAAGTTATTTGAGACGTGGTTAAATGGAGTGGAGCCAAACACCGCAGGACATATTCAGATAGGAGTATGCGCATTACTTTGGGCTATATGGAACTGCAGAAATGAAATGGTTTTTATAGCTGTTATAAATCTTTTGCAGGTTATTTACAGGGCCACTACTTGGATCCGTACGTTATCGTTACTCGCTCCTGCGGAAGCCAGAGAGCTTTTGGATGCTGGGTGTACCCGGTGGGAGATGGTAGCTCGGGATATTTACAACTGGTTTGGAAGGCAGTCCAATAATAGGCTAGGTGTTTAGTCATATCAACCTATTTTTGCCGGTTATGGTAATTTTTAGCTTTTTTTTATTTCTTTTAAGCCACAAGTGAGCTTGTACTACAACGTGGACCTTTTGGATATTTCATTTAATAATATGACTGCATGCATCAGTCTGATGTCGAAGCCGGGGTGATCCTCCCTTTCTGAAGAAAAAAAGAGTGAACGAGGGAGGATGCCTCACTCACCTTCGTTTGTTGTGCCGGCCTGCGGCTGAGGCAGTGACTGAACTGAACTGATTTGGTGGTGAACAACACACCGTGCATGCATTGGATCCGTGGTTGAAATTCTTGCTGGTGAAAAATAAACATAGAATTCAAAATGTGAGTCTGCTGAAGTGAGGCATGCACAAAAAGAATTGAGAGCACAACTATGAAATATGAAGAATTAAAATGAAAGCAGAGGGCCAAAATCAACAAGTCCCTTCAAGGAGAAGCAATAATTAATATATCCATGCTAAAGCTAATGGGAGACGTAGGAAAAATATGATTACTTCTTTACATCATGAAGAAAATCACACTGAAGGTGCTAAAAAATCGATTACTTATATTACCAATTTCTATAAGAATCTTTTTGGACGTCCTAAGGTTTCTACAATCTCTTTAGACATTGATGACCCTAGGGCTATTCCTGGAGAAGCTGCAGATAAATTAACTGTAGAATTTTTTCCTAGAAGAAATTAAAATTGCAGTTTCCAACATGGCTCGTAACAAATCCCCTGTATCTAATGATTTTACTTCTGAATTCTATCAGCATTTCTGGGAGCTGGTTAAGTTTGATATAAAAGCCATGTTTGATGATTTTTCACATAAGCAATTTAGATATATCGAAGCTGAATTATGAGATTTTATTACTTTGGTCCCTAAAACCAAAGATGTTAATGAAATTCGACAATTGAAATTCGACAATTCAGAGGTAATTGCTTGCTTAATGCTAGTTTTAATTATTTTTTTACTAAAATACTAATGAACATATTGAATGGGGATGTTGGAGATGTGGCTTCTTCCATCCAAACTACTTTTGTGAAAGGCAGATACTTAATGGAGGGGGTTCTGCTACCGCATGACGCTTTAAACAGTATTTGATGTAAATAACTACTGTTATGATTTTTAAAGTAGATTTTGGAAGAAGCCTATGACAAGGTCAAATGGCCTTTTGTGATGCAAATGTTAAACATAAAAGGTTTTCACTGATAAATGGATAGATTGGATAATGCATACTATTAGGTGGGGGGAGGTGTTAGGTATTAAAGTTATTGATAATGTAGGCCCTTATTAATTTCGCCACTCATAAAGGGCTAAGACAGGGAGATTCTTTGTCTCCTTTGATCTTTGATCTTGCCATTGATACTTTGGCCATGCTTATGGACAAAGCTAGGAGAAATGCATTAGTTAAAGGAATGCTAGAGGAAAATACCGAAAAATGTTGTAAAAACATATTGCAATATGCAAATGATACCATTTTTCTTCTACACGGTGATTATAGTGCACATGATATGAAATTTATTTTATGTCTGTTTGAGCATGTGTCTAGCTTAAAAGTCAATATTTTGCTAAAATGTTTAATTGTCCTATTAGGATCTCACCCTGTGAGATACTTAAGATTGCATCTTGATGTAGCCCAGAAGATCAAATGGAAAAAAAGTAATAGGTTGCAGGAGTGATTACTGGACAGTGGAGGTAGAATTACTTTGGTTCAATAATCTCTATATGGCATATAAAACTTTATGATGTATTTTTATGGGTTGCATGTAGGGGTCAATAAAAGAATGGATTCCTTTAGGGCTAGATTAGGCAAGAAGTCAATAAAAAGAAATACATTTAGTTAAGTGGTTAGCTGTATGTTGGCAAAAATATCTTGGTGGTGGTGGCCATAGTATTCAAAACCTAGAATTGATGAAGGGGTAATTTCGTCTCCTTGTGCCGTCCTAAAATGCTTTAGGGTTTACCTTGCCCAGTCGTTGGTGTCAATAGGAAATGGTAGATAAGTAGAAGGGAGTTCGTTGATAACTAGCTTACAGAAATAACATATAAATCAAACAAGTAGGTAAAAGTTGTAGTGTATGAAGAATAACTTTTTATGTTAAATCCATATGACATGGGCTTCAAGAGAAAAAGACTATCATGCCCTTCTAAAGGGCACACCCTCCGCGCTTGAAAATAAGGCTTATAAATTTGTCTTAAGTCAAAGGATACTCCCTCTGTTTCCTTTTTACTTCACGTATTAGGTTTGTCTGAAGTCAAACTCTCTAAAGTTTGACCAAGTTTATGCAGAAAATTAACATTCACAATACAACATCAATATCATTAGATCCATCATGGGATATATTTTCATATTATATTTATTAGATATTGTAGATGTTGATATTTTCTAATATCAACATTGCAAAGTTTGACTTCAGACAAATCTAATATGCGGAGTAAAAAGAAGCATAGGGAGTACATAGTTTGACCGAGTTTAAAACTTGATCAAACTTTATTACATTTGATTTTATACCAAATTTATATGCCTTCCTTTCAAGCACGGAGGGAGTAAGTTCTAATCTCAACCGTTGATCTGCCTCGGAAAATGTTAACTTTTGTAAATGGGCTGTACCGGAAGCACACCTCCTAAAATATTTGCCTGAGTGCTTACAAAAATAAAGACCCAAGAGGAAGACCTCGCGAAGGGAAATTATTAATTAGCGCAGAATGGTTGAGATGGCTATGTCAAGGTGGATTAGATCACGGGTACCCAATTGTCTTAATAGACCTGACCTTTCGGGTGTTGTCTCTCCAGTAGAAGGATGCTGGTTTGGGTCTGGCAAGAACCATAAAATCATCTAGTACAGCTCCCTTGTTTGTGACATCGCCCTTGAGCAGCTACTGCTCCCAGCCTCAGGTAAGTACAAGCTGCTCACTCTGTTTCATAGTTATACACAAACGTAAGTTCTTGAGAAATAGCTTTGCATTAAATCATTTGCAAACTTCAGTTTATTTCCTCAGGATTAAGAAATAAGAGTAATCAACTTCTAAGAAAAGATAAGTACGGTTCTGATATACATGAAGCACAAACTAGCATATATATCTTTGCATAATTAAGATGGAAAAAGAAGCATACGAGCCATAGTAAAGCTGCTGAACTATGACAACACTAGAGGAATCATACTAGAATCCCTCAATTCCTCATCTATTATGGTTATATGAAAGCAACATGGAACCACCATGCCTCGAAATTTCATTCTTAGTTTAGTGTTTACAGAAAGTTGAGGTGCAGGGTTAAGCGCCTCGTTAATCTATTCAAGTTCTTGTGAAGTGTGACTATCAGTTCTGGTGATTTTCTTGAGAGAAAAGGGAGTTGTTGTTTTAAATTAACTGGCAAAACGACCATGAACATGCAGGTGGCGCGAACCAGGAAAATGTTGAGCTACGATGATGCCCGTGATTATGTGACGTCCCTGTTCATCATGCTGAAGAAGGAAACAGTAATCTTGTTTCGCATCGAGTTCCTGGTGGTCCTCGTCACAATCCTCTTCTTCGCCATGTTCCTCATGGATTTCTTTCGCCGCATCATCCACAACTCGTTCATGAGGGCCGTCTTTAGCGCCTTCGACGCCGCCTCCGACTCCATTGTCTTGTACCTCCTGGGGGCCATGCAGTCGGCGCCTTTCAAGAACCAGCTGTTCCCAGTCTGGGCGCTTGTGCTCGTCAACTTCCGTTACAGCGCAGATTACGTCTCCGGCTATGGTGTTCCTGACCGCCGCGGGCGGAGGTTCACCGAGTGGAGGAACGTGTTCAAGCTCCTAGGATCGGTATTCTTGAACTGGTCCCGTGGATCCAGTTTCACGGGCCCACTCTGGTCCGTCTGGTGTCTGCAGATAGTGAGGAGCGCGTATAGGCTCATTTCACACAATCTGGCCTTCCGCTCCGTCTGGCATGGCAGGAGTTCGCAGCTTGTTGCAGAGCATATGCGTGCCACGTATGACGATGATAATGATGATGATGATGATACTAGCAGCTTGCAAGTGGGATCCGAGCCCAAATCCAGCCATTCTCAAGAAAAAGAACCCAATTCCAGCCCGATGAAAGACTACAACTACTTGGTGTATGGAGAAACAAAGCAGGGGTTCAAACTGAAGAAGCCTCAGTATGCATTGTCCGCCGACACTACTGCCCGCCGGCGCCGGCCAAAAAGAGGAGGTAGCACCAGCAGCCCGAGGTCCGAGCAGGAGTCGTCGCCACTGGTCACGCTGGACAAGGTCTGGGAGTACTGTCCTATTGACCAGCCACAGAACCGGGAGAAGGACCTCAAAAAGGAGGGCCATAAGGATCTCCCTCTGGCCTTCGCCTTGTCCAGGCTGCTGCGGTGCAGGTTAGAGGATGTGACGCTGCAAGGATACAGGAGTATCTTCACAATAAACCGAGAGCTGGTCAAGAGCATAATCGGCGGGGAGGTGGGCGCCAGCGATGCCCTCAGGATCATGGAGCTGCAGCTTGCGTTCGTCCACGACTACTTCAACACCCGCTACCCCATGGTGTTCTGGTCTGGCCTCCGGTCTCTCTACATCACTCTGTGCCTGTCCATACTGACCATCGGTGCTGTCTGCTGGCTTGCTGTGGACATCCGTAAGGTGTATAAGCCCCCCAGTGGCGAGCTTGCCAATCTGGTCAAGGGTTTTAATATCGACATGATCATTACATGGGCATTCATTGTACTGATGATTGCCAAGGAGCTCTGGGAGATGGCGACATACTTGCTCTCGGACTGGACAAGCTTAATCATGGTGTGTGAGTATGTGCAGAGGAAGTGCAAGGGGGCCAAAGAATCTGTAGGTGCAAGGGTGAATCACATCTATTCAGGTGGGGAATCTCTCCCCTCCGGTGGCATTTCAAAAGAAAGAAGGATGGATCGCATCCTCTTATGGTTTTCCAGAGCTAAGATTACTGACAAGAGGTGGCATGGATTCCTTGACCAGTATGTCTTCCTGCAGTCGTATGATGACAGACCAAGGCTTTGGAATTTTGTTCACAACCTAACTACAGGAATAATTCCAAAGAAAGACGATGGGGCAAAGCTCAGCAGTGCCATCAAAGTTCCGGTCGTTGTCAAGAAGGCAGTCCTGGATAAGCTCAGCACAATGGTGGAGGAAAAACCAGGGGTCATCAGGACATTGTCCAACATAACCTTGAGCAGTTGCAGAAGTATGAGGCTTACACCGCACCGCCGATGAGCACTCAGACCGCCATGCCGACCAGCACTAGCATCGTCCCGTGCTCTCACATTGCTGCAGCCACAAGCATCCTACCAACAAGCTCTCACATCATTCTTGTGTGGCACATTGCGACTAGCCTCTGCGAGATGAGGCTTGCAATCAATCACGGCGTCAACTTGAGCAACCCTGGGTTCCCGTGTTCCCTCCTGTCTTGGCTGACTTCTTGCTGCTCATCCAAAACGTATCTTATGGATTTGGGTGAGAAGAAAGGTGGCATCTTGTCCTGGTTCACAAACTGTTGCTCATCCAAGTCGAATGAGAAGTTGTCTGATGAGCTCCGGAAATCATACACCATTGCGAATAGCTTGTCGCGGTACTGCGCATATCTGCTGGTTTCAAAACCTGACCTGATCCCTGATAGCTTTCTTGTTCCCAATATAGTGTTCCAAATAACCGTCGAGAATGCTCGGGATGATATTCTGAAAAACTGTGATTCATTAGAGAGCAGGTACTTGAAATTGATGAGCGAAGCAGAGAAACCTATTCAAGACTCTGAAAAAGAGGATGCATCGAAACAAGGTGCGGCGCTGGGCAAGGTACTACTCGATCTTGAACCTGACAAAGTTGAAGTTCACTGGAAGATCCTGGCAGAGGTATGGACTGAGTTACTTATACACATTGCGCCCACGAGGAACGCACAGGCACACAGGAAGTGTCTTTCTGGAGGGGAGTTCATAAGCCACATCTGGGCATTGCTTTGGCACTATGACATCCAGAAAAGTAGCTTGTGGCCTAATGAAGTTGAGCTAGGAAACAATGCTCCTGCAGAGCCTGGTGCCCGAAATGAAAACAATATGGACAATACAGAGCAAGCATGTGCACTCAGAAGTAACATCATCCAGATTAGCACTAATGTTCATGATGATTCGGATGAGATCAAGGGGACCCAAGAGCATGAGACAGGAAACTCGAGGAGAGGACTAGGAAGAACGGAGGGAACAGAGAGTTCAGAAATCGAGGATTGGTCAGGATACGATAGTGGAGGACATAAATTTCAGAAATAAATGGTTGATAGGCCAAATCCAAAACGGGAGTGAAGCAAAGAAGGTTCAAGACATAGCCCCCGAGCAGCGCAACATGACCTGAATGGTGGCGTGTATGAAATACGTGATCATAAGTTCCGCAACAAGATCGCAAACCTGAACAGAGGATCTGTAGATCTTCCATCTGGGGACTTGATTTGCTATACGGATGCTGTTGTTTATATGTTTTGTTTTCCCTATTTCTGATTTGGTTGTGATATCTCTTATAAGACTTCTATTGGAATCTCACCTCATATGTGATGGTGGGAGAGTAGACTGTTCTGGACTTTCTACCTTATTCCGTACTGTGCAGGAGTATGCATGTTTATTAGTGTGTTCGTAAATTGTATCTTAATGCTGAACTGGAATTTTCAATATTGCTTAGCAACAGAATTTGTTTTCATTTATTATATAGAAAATCAATCTGTCCGACTCTCCAAGTTACTCTCCTGAACCTTACTGGCGACTAGGATTTCAAAAGTTCCTGCCAGTTCATCTCATCTGGACTATGAAACTGCAGCATACACACACAGTGACAAGGACTACAGAACAGAAGCTAGGGACTATCAGGGATTCAGCGGTAGGAACTTCGGCTGGATGCGGTGACAAATTGGTAGTTCTTTTGGTTCAGGATTTAACAAATGTGCGCACGCCAAATAGCATGTATGCACAAGTCGGAGTCATGTACTCAGGACATGCATGGCATAAACCTGAACATGTGCCAAGGAAGAAACACAGGCCAGTGGAGCAGCCATCTACCCGTCCAAGGTTTCCCTTGACTGTCAGCTATGTACTGCTTCCCTACCAGAAAAATTATCCCTTCTCTTCTCTTGCACCAGGTATCTGCAGATACCAGCCATGGATCATCAAACCAAGTTTGCCGTGCAGAGGATTGTTATCTCGCTCCATTCGGTGCGTGACATCTTGGAGAATATCCTGGACAGAGCTTCCGAGGAGAAAGCAGAAAGGATTTCTTGTTGACTCGAGTCTCAATCCCAAGGATGGACTGAGGTTCCTGGAATTGGAGGCTCATAACATTCCTGATCTGGCCAAGGAGGTGGAGATCAGGATCTCAGAATGCAGGGAGAAGAAAAGGAAGGAGAGATGCAGGATGGAGAGTATGGTATCAAGCTTAAAAAAGGAGAACCAGGATATCAGGAGTATGTCGGAGGTTGCCATAAGTGAGAAGGATGCAGCGGAGAATAGCCTTTGTGTGTTGAAGGGCGATGCCGATCAGAGAAGAAGTTCAATCCTGCAGATTGCTGAGAAGGGATTGCAGAAGGTTGGCTTTGGCTCCATCATGGAGGTGATAAGTGGAGAATCAGAAGATGACTTGAGCAGCTCCAGTGCCAGTGCAGCATCTAATGGAAGAGAAAGTAAACAGGAGGTTGACAATCTCGTAAATAGTTCTCCCTCAGTAGCTCCCATAGTTCTGTCGTTTAGAAAATAATCCGAAGGACCTCCTGCATACACAATATATAGTTGTTATTTTTAGATTATACTTATAGTTGTTACTTGTGAAATAATTGTCATATACGGAGTAATCTCTAATTTATGACCCTGCATGCAATGCAACTAGAAACTATTGATTATGTCATGTTTATAAGTTATCAACTGAAATCATTGCCCTGCAGGAAACTTGTCAGGTCATAAACTCCTTCAAGCTGTTTCCTTTCAGGCTTCAATAGTTGGTAAGACACTGAAAAACATGCACTATGAGATCAATGACCTCAGGCAGGCCTTAGACGAGTCCAGCTAAACTATTAAGTCGTCAACCAAAAATGTCTACCATTCTTTTTATGGACCACTAAGGGCCTTCCTGTAATTTGTGCTAACTGATAATATCAAACTGCTCCAACAGGTCAAATTGTGATCGTTTGCAACTCCTCGCTGCTCAACAGACTCAGAAGATAATCAAACATGAGTCACGGATACAGGATCTGAAAGAACAAGAAATTTTACTACTTCAAAGTGTATAAGCATATCTATTATTTATTTATGTACTTTCTTTCATTTGCTAGCCCTGTAATTGAGAAGGATCTGAAGTCTCTTTCTCATACCTAAGGTGGAAGAGTTCAATGTCGGGGTAAAAGAAGTAGAGCAGGGAGCTGCACGGTGGAGAGAGGCATGTGCGTTGGAGGTAGAAGCTGGAAAAGCTGCCATTAAAGAACTAAACCAGGAGGTAACCCCAAGAGGAATAAGTTTTACCTAAGCTTCATTAAAATGGACCTCCTGAGGTCATGAAATGTGCTTTGCAGACTGATATAAATGACCATTGAACATAATGTCATTCAAGAATTGATATGAAGTTTCTTCAAAGTAACTCGAACACAAATTTGAAAGGGAAGCAACAATAGGAAGACATCACTGGTAATACCTTTAGTAGTGCATGATATCATACTCTAACTTAGTCATTCATCAGAGAGCTGTACATGTTCTAAAGAGCTACCTCTTCAGGTGACCTTGCTCAGAGAAGAACTGCGAAGAGTAAAAGCAGCCTTGGATGCTGCAAACAGCAAGATAATGCTAAAAGAGAAACTAGCTGCCAGTGCAATGGCAGAACAAGCTGCTGCAGATGCATGCCTTAAGCTTGCTGATAGTAGATATGCTGGGTTACAACAGAGAATAGAAGAGTTGACAAGGCAGATAGATCAAGAAGACACCCATGCAAGAAAAGATCGGGAGAGTGCTTGAAGAAGAATAAGATATGCCTGCTGGCTATGGCAGAGACTTTGAGTCATATCAGCATCCTCTCATGCTAGGACATGGTTTGTTGATCAGAATGGAAGATTGTCACCAGGGAAAGAAGCACTACTTCAAATAAGGATCTGAATAAGTTCTCACAATTTCCCAAACTGGACATATCGCTCCCTGTTCCCCTTTTTTTTATCTATGTAGGCATGCACCTAAGATTTTTGCAATAAATTCATATGATCTTCTCACTACTCACTGAATCTAGTTTCTCTGGTCACTGCCATCAGGAGAAGTCATTCAACTTCCAGCTGTTTTGGCACTGAATAACCCAGAAATAAAAACAGTATATATGCATTAATGGAACAGTACAGAAAAACCAGGATGTCGGGCACCTTGCAAAATGGACAAGAAAACAATACATCATGGGATACTTACTAAAGTTATGTATTCGGAACTTTTGATACTTACAGGATCAGTGTTGCGCGACGCAGCAGCATGGGCTCATTCGTTGACTTGAAGCCTGACACTCATATATTATATCAAAACTGAAAACATTCAGAAATTTGTACTGCTACCCTTAAGAGGGCCATCTGCTAATGTAATCTAGCATCCTCTGCACCCCAACCACCATACTGCATCAAGATGGTTCGGAAACTAATAATCTGTAGGAGGTGTCTACTTTGCAGGATCCATTCATCCTTCACTTCCACATTGGTTCCCCTTTTAAGAAATATAAGATATGATAGCGGAAAAACAATTTTAATGAACACCTTAAAAACTTTGTTCCTCAGACAGTCATAACAACAAAGGACTACTGGATGCACCTTTAAACATTTGGTCTTGAGAAATAAGGGTTTATTTCTTTCCCCTATAAATAAGGTTTAAAGGCAACATCTAAACAAATTTTGTCAACAGAAATAAAATTCTACTACTATATATGAAGTAAGAGCAAGTCTGACATGAAGTTGGAATAGATGGAGCAGAAATTTCAGGGAATCAAATGGAGAATCAGGCTCTATTCAACTTCAGACGGACAACACTGGAACTTCTCAAATTGAGTTGCCAATAAGAATGAAAAATATCCAGTTGAACTATGCCCTTGCAGTACATGGTAACAGAATCACCTAGGGGTTCGTAAAACCGTGTCTAGAACATCAAGCCATGTATGAATGTTCAGATGGTTTCATGCATATAAACTGTCACTTGGCCTTCTTCCCTAATGGCATTGAAGTAACAGAAGGC